GGCTAGTCTCGACCTCAGGTGATCTACCCACCTTGGCCTCCCAAAGTGCTGGGCTTACCGGGCGGGAGCCACTGCGCCCAGCCTATGTTCATGTCTTCTATAGCCATCTTTATTCCTTCCTCCCTCTTTGTGACCTGTTGTCTGCATCAGTGTTTCATCTGGGGCTATCAGGAGACGTCTGACAATTCATGGAGATGTTTTTTAAAAAAACATTGTATTGAGATGCAATTCACATTCACCAGTTCACTGTTCACCAGTGGTGACATTTTTGGCTGTCATAACTTGAAGAGGGGATGCTACTGGTATCTATTAATAGGGGGCAGAGGCCAGGATGCTGCTCAAACCCTACACCTATGCGTTGGACAGGCCCCACAACACAGCAGATAATTATCTAGCCCCAAATGTCAATAGTGTCCAGATTGAGTAGCCCTGGTTCACATCCTTGGCCTATCTGCAGGGTCCTGTCTTGCAAGGAGCTCATAGTTCATGTGCAGAGACAGGAAGAGCCTAATAAGAAAAAGGACAATTTAGGCCAGGCACAGTGACTCACGCCTGTAATCCCACCACTTTGGGAGGCTGAGGTGGGCGGATCACTTGAGGTCAGGAGTTGGAGACCAGCCTGACCAACATGGTGAAACCCTGTCTCTACTAAAAATACAAAAAGTAGCTAGACATGGTAGAGTGTGTCTGTAGTCCCAGCTTCTCGGGAGACTGAGGCACAAGAATCTCTTGAACCCGGGAGACAGAGGTTGCAGTTAGCCAAGGTGGCGCCACTGCACTCCAGCCTGGGCGACAGAGTGAGACTGTCTCCAAAAAAGAAAGAAAAAGGACAATTTCAGTCACCTCCCTTCTGTGCCTGGCCCCAGGGTCCTGGGTACCCAACGCTTGTCACTCAGCTCAGTTAGTCCTCACTAGGCTTTAGAGAGGAGAGTACCACCACAGGGAGTGGTGAGGAGAGCCACAGGGAGTGGTACAGCTGCTGAAACGTAGGTCCTCCTCTCTCAGGTCTGTACCCACAAGGCTGGCATTTCCCTATACGTGTTTGACATCATAGCATAGTGCTTCCTATGTCGCAGACATGTGCCAGACATCATAGGTTAGTTAGGTCATTGAGTCCCCATGCCAGCCCTGTGAGTTAGGGCTCTGTTTTACAGAAGGGGAAACAGAGCACAGATTAGTCAAGCTGTTTAACCCCAGGTCACACAGCAATACTAACAATAAGAGCACCTAGTATGTGCCAGGCCCTGTCTAGCAGGAGCCTGTTGAATCCTAATAACAGCATAGGCAGCAATTGGGGCTATTTTTCCATGCAGTGGAAGAGAAAGCTGTCTCTTACTGAGGTCTCACAGCCAAACCAGCCTGGGATCTCCACTCTTCATTTATTTTGTTGTTTGTTTGTTTTTTTTGAGAGGAGTCTTGCTCTGTCACCCAGGTTGGAGTGCACTGGTGAGATCTCGGCTCACTGCAACCCCTGCCTCCCGGGTTCAAGCAATTCTCCTGCCTCAGCCTCCTGAGTAGCTGGGATTACAGGCATGTGCCACCATGCCTAGCTAAGTTTCGTATTCTTAGTAGGGACGGGGTTTCACCATGTTGACCAGGCTGGTCTCGAACTCTTGACCTTGTGATCCACCTGCTTTAGCCTCTCAAAGTACTGGGATTACAAGCGTGAGCCATCGCGCCCGGCCAATGTTTGTTTGTTTTTGAGACAGAGTATTGCTCTCTTGCCCAGGCTGGAGTACAGCGGCACGACCTCTGATCACTGCAACCTCTGCCTCCCGGGTTCAAGTGATTCTCCTGCCTCAGACTCCCCAAGTGGCTGGGATTACAGGCATGTGCCACCACGTCTGGCTAATTTTTGTATTTTAGTAGAGACAGGGTTTTACTATGTTGGCCAGGCTGCTCTCGAACTCCTGACCTCTAGTGATCCTCTAGCCTCAGCCCCTAAAGTGCTGGGATTACAGGCGTGAACCACCATGCCCGGCCCATTCATGAATTCTCATTGGTCTCTATGGCAGGCGGTTTTCTGGGGGCTGGAGATCCAGCAGTGGGAAAAGCAAGGAGGCCACCTTGAAGCTTACGGAGGGAAAGGCAATGCAGGCAGATACAGGGAACCGAAAGTGCAAGGGCCCAAGAAGGGGCTGCCAGGCATCGCGCCTGAGAATCAGCGAGGAGGCCTGTGTGGCTGGGGTGGGGAGAGCAAGCGTGGTACACCACGAGGGTGCCGGCAGGATCCAGAGCTCACAGGGTCAGCAGGACTGTGGTGAGGACTTTGACTTTGTCTCTGAGCAAGACAGAAGCCACAAGAGGGCTCTGAGCAGAGAAGACATGTGATCTGACTTGGGCATTGACAAACAGGGTGTGGGTTGTAGACTGGGGGTGGTGAAGGTGGAAGCCAGGGTCCCAGAGGGGAGTTCACTACAGTACTCTAGGCAGGAAGCATCTGTGACGGCAGCAGAATGCTGGCACTGGAAGAGGTGAGAAGTGTTAGGTTGTGAATAAATAAATGTGTGTGTGTGTGTGTGTGTGTATATATATATATTTTTTTCTTTCTTTCTTTTTTTTTTTTTGAGACAAAGTCTTGCTCTGTCGCCCAGGCTGGAGTACAATGGCACCATCTGGGCTCACTGCAACATCCGCCTCCCAGGTTCAAGCGATTCTCCTGCCTCAGCCTCCTGAATAGCTGGGATTACAGGTGCCTGCCACCATGCTTCACTAATTTTTGTAGTTTTAGTAGAGATGGGGTTTTGCCATGTTGGCCAGGCTGGTCTTGAACTCTTGACTTCAAGTGATCTGCCCACCTCTGCCTCCCAAAGTGCTGGGATTACAGGTGTGAGACACTCCTTCCAGCCTTATACATTTTTTTCCTCAGCCTTTCTTTGTCTTTTATGACTTTAAAATATATATATATATATATTTTTTCGAGACAGAGTCTTGCTTTTTTGCCCAGGCTGGAGTGCTGTGGTGCAATTTTGGCTCACTGCAAGCTCCACCTCCCGGGTTCACGCCATTCTCCTGCCTTAGCCTCCTGAGTAGCTGGGATTACAGGCCCCGCCACCGCACCCGTCTAATTTTTTGTATTTTTGGTAGAGACGGGGTTTCACCTTGTTAGCCAGGATGGTCTTGATCTCCTGACCTCATGATCCACCCGCCTTGGCCTCCCAAAGTGCTGGGATTACAGGCGTGAGCCACCGTGCCTGGCCATGACTTTAATATTTTTGAAGAGCCCAGGTTAGTTGGGCTGTTTTTTTTTTTTCTAAGACAAAGTCTCACTCTTGCCCAGGCTGGAGTGCAGTGGCGCGATCATAGCTCACTGCAGCTTCAACCTTCCAGGGCTCCAGTGATTCTCTTACCTCAGTCTTCTGAGTAGCTGGGACTCACATGAGTACATAGTCATGCCTGGCTAATAGTTTTTATTTTTAGTAGAGACAAGGTCTTACCATGTTGCCCAGGCTGGTCTTGAACTCCTGAACGCAAGCAATCCTCTCACCTCGGCCTCCCGAAGTGCTGGGATTATAGGTGTGAGCCACCATGCCTGTCCCCGTTGTCCTTGTTTGGCCCAGAGGCTGGAAGATCACTTGAGGCCAGGAGTTGGAGAACAGCCTCGGCAACATAGTCAGACCCTGTCTCTTTAAGAAGAAAAAAAGGAATAACACAGAAGTGGTGCGCAGTCCTTCTTAGTGTCCCATTCCTGGAGATGTTGGCTTTGATCACTAAGTTAAGGGGGTGCGTACCAGGTTCCTCCACTATAAATTTGTGTTTGCCCTTTACAGTGAATGAATATCTTATGAGTCTGTTAATACTATGTAGCTACCTTTTACTTCATCTAACTCCCATCCATGTTTTTTTTTTTTTTTTTTTTTGATACAGAGTCTCACTCTGTCACCCAGGCTGGAGTGCTGTGGTGCGATCTCCGCCCACTGCAGCCTCTGCCTTTTGGGTTCAAATGATTCTCCTGCCTTAACCTCCCAAGTAGCTGGGACTACAGGCACATGCCACCACACCCAGCTAATTTTTGTATTTTGGTAGAGGCGGGGTTTCGCCATGTTGGCCAGGCTGGTCTGGAATTCCTGACCTCAAGTGATTCGCCCACCTTGGCCTCCCAAAGTTCTGGGATTACAGGTGTGAGCCACTGCACCCGGCCCTATCCACACATTTTTACATCTATTCCTTTTATATTTATTTACTTGCCAGTCTACAGTAAGGATTATATTTTTCTTCTTTTCCTTATTCATTTATTTATTATCAGTATGGATTATGGATTTCTGTTTTACCCAGTGGGTTATAATCTGTCACTATCATTATTGTATTCAAATAATTCCAGATTTGGCCACTTGGAGACCTTTCAAGCTAGCTCCTGTGTGAGTGGGAGTCTATCTAGAATATAGAATTTCCTGATGGATTGGATGGGTTGTGTGTGAGAGAAAGGTGGGGTTTGTTCTTTTTTTTAAGAGACAGCGTCTCACTCTGTCACCCAAACTGGAGTGCAGTTGCATGATTACGGCTCACTTCAGCCTCCATCTCCTGGGCTCAACTAATCCTTCTCCCTCAGCCTCCTGAGTAGCCCAACTAATGTAAAATAATTTTTTTTTTTTGTAGAAATGTGATTTCACTATATTGCCCAGGCTGGTCTCAAACTCCCAGCTTCAAAGTGATCCTCCTGCCTTGGCCTCCCAAAGTGCTGGGATTACAGGCATGAGCCACCATGCCTGGCCGGGTTCATCTTTTGGCAAATATTTATTGCCTGGAAGTTGAGATAAAGCTGTTTTAAAAGCAGACAAAGGTCTTTACCTTCATGGGGCTCATGTTTTTGTGCATGTGACACTTTGTTTCTGATCCAAGCCACTGGGGAATGATGGCACAAATTTTAGCAGGGTGGATCGGTTTGGGGCAGGTGAAGTGGAGCTGCCTAGGTAGACCAGCCTCGGCTTCCACTCCTCCCTCCTCCATTAGCCTCATGCTTACCATGTAATGACTTCCTGCCCTTTTTCTTCACTCAACAGCCAAGACAATGCAAACTCCAGTGACCATTCCTGTGCCTGTGCTCCGGCTGCCCCGGGGCCCTGATGGCTTCAGCCGTGGCTTTGCCCCTGATGGACGCAGAGCCCCCCTGAGGCCAGAGGTTCCTGAAATCCAGGCGCGTCCCATAGCTCAAGAATCCCCGGAATTCCAGGAGCAGCGGGCCCGAGCCGCCCTTCGGGAGCGTTACCTCCGCAGCCTGCTGGCCATGGTGGGTCGTCAGGTGAGCTTCACGTTGCACGAGGGTGTGCGTGTGGCCGCCCACTTCGGAGCCACCGACCTGGATGTGGCCAACTTCTACGTGTCACAGCTGCAAACTCCCATAGGTGTGCAAGCAGAGGCGCTGCTCCGATGCAGTGACATTATTTCATATACCTTCAAGCCATAGAGACATTGTGTTCACTTTTCTGCTTGAGGCTGAGCCACTGTATCCCAGGCCTCCCAATGTTCCCGAGCCAGGAACTCTGGGCCGCATGGAGTTATGAGCTCCCTTGGAATTTTCAGCCAAGCTTTAAGCAAGTCTGGACTCCTGAGACCTCCTGGGTCTAGTCAGTAAAATTCTGCAACTCTAGGAATTCTAAGATCCCACTGGAAGGAGTGCTCTACCTCACAGAACTCTGAACCCTACAGAAAGATGGGCCTGCTGCCATTTCTTGAAGACCAGGGCATCGGGGTGGGGTGATAAAGGAGACAACTTGCACAGGGGGACGTTATTAAAGAGGCTGCAAAGTTCAGCCACCCTGAAGATACTCCCCAGTGCTCCCCTCCTGCTAAAGAACCAGTTACCCCAGGAAAATTCGACTCCTGTTTTTCTTTCTTTAATTAAGTATACCCACGGGGATGGAATAATCTTTAGGAGCTGGTAGGGTGGTTGTCCCAGGGCTGAATCCAGTGGAGCTGGGCCAAGTAGGACAGGAGCCCAGATAAAGGTGTAGGGGCTGCAGGGCCGCAAGTCTCCTGGAAATGCTGGAGTGACCGGAATGCTGGGATTGGGAGATTAGGATTTGATTTCATTTTGTGGCGGGCGGTGGCTCGTGTTGGGTCACGTGGTCGTGCCCAAGCGCTCCTCCTGTTGCCCCACCTGTGGTTGCTGTGGACTGCACACGACAGCAGATTCGCTGTCCCCTCGTTGGAGGCGAATGGTTGGATCCCGAGTGGCGGCGCCCCTGATAAAAGGCCGAGGATTCGCGGTCAGGGTGCAACTTCATCCCCCTCCTCTTTTCTCTCCAGCCTTGTAGCTTGGCCGTTCACATCACGCGCTTCACTAAGCCCCCTGTCACTAGTAACCTTTCAGGGCATTGTTTAAAAAGAAAGCAGTTTCTGTCCCCTTCTGTAGTTCCCTTAAATTCAGGATGTAAGCGAAGCCTTCCATTAAGTAAAGGTGAGCGTCATTTTGTCTCAGTCGCGAAAGTGCGGCGGCCGATGATGAACGCGCCAGGAGCAACCTCAGCTGCCTTCAGTCGGTTCGCGACGCCTACCTCTTGAGTTGCCTTGGCGACGACGCGGCTCGCTCCGCCCAGTCCCCTTTTATGGTTTCAGCCCCGCCTCCTTCAGTTCGCCGGGTGCGCTTGGGAAAGCGTGGCGAAAGTGCGGCGGCGAATGTCAAGCCTTGGGTCTGAGCCTAGGGGTGTGGCTTGAGCTCGCGCTGGTTTGTTCTTGCCTCGGTGACCCACCAGCCTTGTCACCCAGGATTTGGGTTGGCAGATTCGTCTCTCGCCTTTGGAATTTCTATCTTCTCCTAGGTTTTGTTTTTTAAAATCAGGCCTATGATACCGTTCATAGGCTCGTATTTATTTTAGCATTGCTCATGGGCTCATATTTGTTTTAGTATTGTGATTTAAGTTGCATTTTATGCAACTACCCCTATACAGAGAGCTATTGATGTAACTGCAGCGAGCAAATGGAAGACTGGAGACTACCGAAGAGGCCGAGGCTTCGTCTCCAGAGGAACCCTCTCTGTCAGCATCCATCAGCTGTACTCATATATTGAATGCAGCTCCTATCCGCCTTTCTTTTCGACTTCTTTATGCCGTTACCACTCTTCATCAGTTAGTCTAACCTCAGTGTTTTCATTCTTTCCTTTTTTTTTTTTTTTTTTTTTTTTGAGACGGCGTCTTGCTCTGTCGCCCAGACCGGAGTGCAGTGGCACAATCTCGGCTCACTGCAAGCTCCATCGTCTCCCGGGTTCACGCCATTCTGCTGCTTCAGTCTCCCGAGTAGCTGGGACTACAGGCGACCGCCACCACGCCTGGCTAATTTTTTGTAATTTTAGTAGAGACGGGGTTTCACCGTGTTAGCCAGGATGGTCTCGATCTTCTGACCTCGTGTTCCGCCCGCCTTGGCCTCCCGAAGTGCTGGGATTACAGGCGTGAGCCCCCGCGCCCGGCCCATTTCTTTCCTTTCGTTGAGACAGGGTCTCGCTATGTCTACCAGGTCGTAGTGCAGGGGCGCGATCAGTGCAGCGTCAACCTGCCGGGCTCAAGTGATCTTCCCACCTCCCAAGTAGCTGGAACTACAGTCTCCCGTAACCAGACCCTGCTAATTTTTAAATTTTTTGTAGAGACGGGGCCTTGCTATGTTGCCCAGGCTGGTCTCGAACTCCGGACTCACGCGATCTTCCTGCCTCAGCCTCCCAAAGTGCTGGGATTATAGGCGTGAGCCGCCGCGCCCCGCCAGGTGTTTTCATTTCTATGAACTCCATTTCCCTGGGCTCTTGACGAATGTGCGGGAGCTGAATATTTGTTATCTGGACTCAGGCGGGGAGGCGTGGGCTCAGCTTCGCGCTTGCGCGCTGCTCTTGGAGACGGCGTCTACCTCGCCCCGCCCCTCATAGTCTGCAGTTCCGGCTCTGCAGATTCGCTGCTCACGTTTCTTTTTTCCGTGGCCCTTCCTGCCCTTTGTTTCTCTCTTCATGTCACCCGCGGGACAACTCTACCTGCAAGTCGCTGAAATCGATTTTCTGCTTCTTATAGTAAGCGGCGGGCTCGCCAGCCTAGAGCGAAAGTGTGACTGCGAACGGGCAGGCGCGCGCGGGACTCGGCGGAGGCGCGCTTGGGCTCCAGGCGGCGACGATTACGACGACTAGGAGAGCGGACGGAGGCGGCGCCTGAAGCAGTGGCGGAGCCCATGCCCCGGGACGGCGGGCGGGCCCGGAGAGACAAATCCGGGGCCCGGGGCATGTCCCCGGGGCCCCCGTGAGGAGGCGGCGGCGGCTATGGAGATCCCGCCGCAGGAGGCGCCGCCCGTGCCGGGCGCGGACGGCGACGTTGAAGAGGCCCCCGCCGAAGCCGGGTCTCCCAGCCCCGCATCGCCCCCCGCGGATGGGCGCCTCAAGGCTGCAGCCAAGCGCGTCACGTTCCCGTCCGACGAGGATATCGTGTCTGGAGCAGTGGAGCCCAAAGACCCCTGGAGACATGGTAGCTACCGCGGGTGAAGCGGGGGCGGGCTCGAGGGAGACCCGGGAGTCGGGAGGGATCGGTGCAGGGCCCGGCTCAGAGGTGGCGTTCAATAGATTGCACCTAATGGTGAATAAGGGGACAGTCGTCAGTTTAGAACCGGAGTCTATTAGAGAGGGGGTGACTATGGAGTTGGGAAGGTGAAAAGTATGTGCTTTCTGCCGCACCCCACCCACCCGAGACAAAGATGGTGATCGTTTTAGGGTTTAAAACGATGAGCAATTAAAGAAAGTTTGGTGATTTGTCAAATGTAGAGTGTGGCAGCCTTTGCGTTCGTAGTTCCACCAGAGAAGGAGAGAAAGAGCAGTCGGGAGGAGGAGCGGGTCAACGCTGGCCCCAAAAGGGCAATTGAAAGAGTTTGATGGGTCTATGGGGGTAAAAAAAAGTTCAGTAGCTGGTCTGCAAGTCTCGGGTCAAGGAGTGGTCGTGTTGGCCACTTTCTTGGCTGGAAAGAGGGAGAAATATAAACTTGGACTGTGGCTATAGAAGACTTGGTAAAAAGGGAGTCAAGGTAAGGTCCCAGAAGAGGAGCACAGGTGGTGGTCCATTTGTGGTTGGTTGAGTCAGAGGCAGTGTGGTTTTTATGTTTTCATTTTTATTGAGAGGAGGTCTTACTACATTGCCCAGGCTGGTCTCGAACTTCTGGGTTCAAGCTGTCCTCCCTCCTTGGCCTCCCAGAGTATTGGGATTACAGGCATGAGCCACCGCCCCCGGCTGCAGTGTGGTATTAAGAAGAAAAGCCAACGCCTACCGCCACCGCCTCCTCCAGCAAAAAGAGAAGCAGAAGAAAGGTTCTCAGTCATTCAGGAGCAGAGGATGTTTGGGGCATGGCTACGGAAGGGTCCTCTTGTTCCTTCCTGAGAAAGAATTGGGGGATGGCCGGGTGTATTGGCTCACGCATGTAATCCCAGCACTTTGGGAGGCCAAGGTGGGTGGATCACCTGAGGTCAGGAGTTTAAAACCAGCCTGGCCAACAAGGGGAAACCCCGTCTCTACTAAAAATACAAAAACCGGCCGGGCATGGTGGTGCTCGCCTGTCATCCCATCTACTCAGGAGACTGAGGCAGGGAGAATCGCTTGAACTCAGGAGGTGGAGATTGCAGTGAGCTAAGATCATGACCTTGTACAGCCTGGGTGACAAGAGCAAAACTCTGTCTCAAAGAAAGAAAAAAAAAGAATTGGGGGATGTTATCAAGTCAGGAATTGGAGTTGCTGACCAGTAGCAGGTGAGAGAACTGAGGAAGTTTGGCGGCTTGAAGTGTTGGGAGAGGGGGCCGTCCCATTGGAGAGGGTCAGGTGAGTGTTGGAGCTGAAAGGAATGTGTTGGAGTCATAGGGCTGGGAAGGTGGAAAGTCGCTTGGGACATGCAGGGCAGTGTTGAGTCCATTTCATGCTGGAGAAGTCTATCAGTCCTCCTGGGGTGGAGCCCATGAAGTGAGGGATCAGACTGGTCATGGTTCTGTAGAAGCTGATCTGCCAGCCCTGCCTAAGGGGAGAAGCTGTTGCCAGTCTATGGACAGTGGAGGAATTGGTGGCTTTGATGTGAGGGTGGGAAACATGGTAACTGGAAACCGAACACACAGTGAGTCCATCATGAATGACAGTTTGGCTACTTACTACTACTTATTATTTTTTAGACAGAGTCTCCCTCTGTCGCTTAGGCTGATTCTCCTGCCTCAGCGTCCTGAGTATCCGGGATTACAGGCACCTGTCATCACACCTGGCTAAAAATGTCTGTATTTTTAGTAGAGATGGGGTTTCACCAATTTAGCTAGGCTGGTCTCGAACTCTTGACCTCAGGTGATCTGCCCACTTCAGCCTTCCAAAGTGCTGGGATTACAGGCATGAGCCACTGTGTCCAGCTGGCTAGTTACTCTTAAAGAGACAGTGGTTAAAGTAAGACTTTTGGGCCGTCTTACATGCCTGTAACCCCAGCCCTTTGTCAGGCCAAGGTAGGCGGATCACCTGAGCCCAGGAGTTCAAGACCAGCTTGGGCAACAAGGTGAAACCGTGTCTCTACAAAATATACAAAAATTAGCCAGGTGTGGTGGTACATGCCTGTAGTCCCAGCTACTCAGGAGGCTGAAGTGGGAGGATCACTTGAGCCCGGGAGGTCAACAGTGCAGTAAACTGTGATTGCATCACTGAACTGCAGCCTGGGTGACAAAGACCCTGTCTTAAAAAAAAAAAAAAAAAGACTTTTGTCACTGGGAGCCAGCCAACTCCTTGGGCTCTAGGCCCCAGGCATAGGTGGTTAGTTTGGGACCGGGCCACAGTCAGAATGGCCCCTGGCTATAGCGTGGTATCCAGTCAGAGCAGGAACCAGGAAGACCTGGAGAGG